GACCTATTGCTATCTGTTTGCGACCGTCGTCGTCCGTTAACATTTGAACATTTTCAGCTTCTTCTCTGAAACCATTGAACCAATTTCAACCAAATTTGGCACAAAGCATCTATGGGTTAAGGGAAACAAAAGTTGTGAATTTCATGATCCCTGCCCCCCCCCCCCCGGGGGCCGGAGGGGGGGGGCGAAAACCACTAAAATTAATGCAATTTTTAAAAATCTTCTTTACTCCTGGACATAAAGCAGTCAAACTGTTTGCATGATTGTCCTCTACCAAAATTGTGAAATTCATGGCCCCAGGGTCAGGGGTTCTAGTGCTAGGGCGGGGCTAAATAAGTATATAGTGAAAATGAATTTTTTCTTTGAAAATCTTCTTCTCTGCTCCTGGGTATTAAATAAACTAATTAAGTGCATAGTTATGATGAGCAAGAGTTCCTCTACCAAAATTGTGAATTTTATGGCCCCAGGGTCAGGGGTTCTGGTGTTAGGGCGGGGCTCTATTGATTATATAGTGAAAATACATTAACTCTTAGAAAATCTTCTTCTCTGCTCCTGGGTATTAAATAAACTAACTATGTGCATAGTTATGATGAGCAAGAGTTTCTCTACCAAAATTGTGAATTTTATGGCCCCAGGGTCAGGATTTCTGGTGTTAGGGTGGTGTTCTATAGATTATATAGTGAAAATACATTAATTCTTTAAAAATCTTTTTTCTCTGCTCCTAGGTATTAAATAAACTAATTAAGTGTATAGTTATGATGAGCAAGAGTGCCTCTACCAAAATTGTGAATTTCATGGCCCCAGGGTAAGGGGTTCTGGTGTTAGGGCGGGGCTCTATTGATTATATAGTGAAAATACATGAATTCTTTGGAAAAAATTTTTCTCTGCTCCTGGGTATTAAATAAACTAACTAAGTACATAGTATTGATAAGCAAGAATCCCTCTTCCAAAATTGTGAATTTTATGGCCCCCGGGTCAGGGGTTCTTGTGTTAGGGCGGGGCTCTATTGATTATGCAGTGAAAAATTACATTAAATCTTTGAAAATTTTTTTCTCTGGGTATGAAGCAGATGAATTACCTATATGGTTATGATGAGCAAGGGCCCTAATCTTCCAAAATTGTGAATTTCAAGGCTTTAGGGAGAGGGTACCAAAGGGGGGCTGTACTTATATACTGAAAATGAAGGAATTGTTTGAAATCTGCTCCTTGATATTAATCAAATATTTTTGAAAAGCAAGGATGCCTTTTCAAAAATTGTGCAGTGTGTGGATCTAGGCCTAAGGATCAGGGGTTCATGTGTGGCAAGGGCACTACTAATTATTGCTGAATATTACTGATTAGTTGAAATGCATTTTTTGTTCCCCTACCCCGCCTATGGTAACCAAGCTAAGCAAATGCTAAGTGTATTGTTATGATGGTCAATGGTGCCTCTTTCAAAATTGTGAATGCCATAGCATCTGGCTTAAAACATGAATCAAATGAAATAACTGGAAAGCTGTTGCATAATGCTCAGGTGACCTATAAGGCCCATGGGCCTCTTGTTTAATTTAGGAAGTAACCATTAATTTTGGCCAACGATTTGTTGAATTCAATATCAGTGTGCATCAAGAAAGGATGTATTCGCTTCAACAAAAGAATTGACCTATAGGAGAGAACAATTTCCCGGAAAAATTGACAATTAAATATTAATCTTTTTTGTTGTTTTTTTACCGTACATATGTCTAAGTTTTTCAAATTTGTATTTCATACCTAAAATTAATTATTTACAACTTTACAATAAACCTCCAAAGTTGACTGAAACACCATTTTGTCCGTTAAATCAGACAAAAATCACACATGTAAAAAAAAAATCTGATAACTTGGGATAGAAAGAGCACATCCTCAATTTTAATAAAATTTATTTATACCCATGGGTTTTTAAAAAATATTCTGTTACCATGGCAACGAAATATCACAAAAATTCATTTTCAAAAATTACCCATTTTTAAAAGCATAGTTAAACAAAAATCACACATGTTAAAGATATCTGATAACATTGGATAGAAAGAACACATTCTTAATTTGAATAAAATTTAATAAAAACTATGCATTTAAAAAAATATTCTGTTACCATTGCAACGACATATCACAAAAATTCATTTTTCACCAAAATGACCTATTTTAGAAGCATATCCAGAAAAATACAACAAATTAAAGAAATCTGGGTTCATATGCATAAAAAATCTAAGAATTTTTATTAAGTATTATACTTATTCCCAGATCAAACTGCTTAACTAAGAAACATACTTTAAGTTTCATGCATAAAAATTCTAAGTACATTACTTAGTGCATCATAGCAAAGCATATCACTTCTTGCTTAAAATAAAACGTCACAATGGTGTGACGTCATTGAGGGTTTTGACGATATTGAATCTCCCGTTTTACGTCATCATCATCGTCTGAATATGGCAGAGAAGAAACGTAAACCAAACTGGACACTGGAAGAATGTTTACATTTAACGCGTTTATTTAACGATAATAAGAAAATTTTGAGGGCTAAATTCGGCGCCGGAGTGACCACTCAAAGGAAAAGGGAAGTATCATAATGGAAAAATATTACTGAAGCAATTAATGCAGCCAACCCTTCAACCATCCGGACTATAGAAGAAGTCGAAAAGAAGTGGCATAACATCCACATGAAGGGGAGAGGAGAAATTTCTAATTTTAGAAGAAGTTTGCAAAAAACAGGTTCGTGAAATGCTTGGTATGCTTGTTATGTTAGCCATGTTGTTTACCGTTACGTAAGATACAAGTGATATAAGGGTGATAACTCTATTGTCGGTATTGAGGCAACATAACGGGATGTAAGCAGTAGATAAGACTTAACTGTGAAATTCTAAATTTGATATTCCAAGTCAAGAGACTCATTATGTATAAAACATTATTTTATTAAGTACCAAAGTTACACGTATAATACTGTACCGTAGGACTTTTGGTTCGTTTAAATTCGAATGACAAAAGACAGGTTTCAAAGACTGAAAGAGTAGACTGTGTCAAATTTGAAAATTATTTTAGCACGAAAAGATTACGGAAATTTGGACGACCTTGGTAATCATGAAGATTGTTTATTTTGATTTATTAGTATATTATAGGTCATAGTCTCACTGTGTTTACCCTAATGGCCTGTGCGAGAATATAACCATACCTTTATTTTTTATAACCCCCCCCCCGACCAGCAATTTCATTTACCGAAAATACTTTACACAATCTAATAAATAGTAGATGTTAGATCCTCTCACATACTCGCTACACATACATTGGATCTAACATCTACTTTTACTTAGATTGTGCACACCGTGAAGAACTTTTAGATTTTCCAAACAAATGCCTAGATCTATGTAATAATGATTTGTTCAGAAACAAAAAAAAAATCATATACTATAGTGAATTACAATCAGCTTGAAATTAGCAAGCCTTAGTGAAAAAAATATTACTATCTCAGCTAAAGTGATCCCCGGTATTTTTTGATAAAGGAAATGTAAACTTTTTTATATACATGAAATAATGGATATATCTTTTTGAAAGCAACAAAAAAACAAATTTTAAATAAAAACAAAATGCTTCAATTTACATAGGTGGAGGACCGGCAGAGAAACCATTAAGTGCACTGTCACAAGCTGTTGGGGAGGTAATTGGTGAGAAAAATGTTTCTATCTGCGGAATATCTGGGGCCTTTGATTCCTCTTTGATGACGTTTAACAATTTCAACAGGGGCATGGAAGACATTCCATCGAGTTCACTGCAAGGGTAAGGCTTTCTTAAGTGTCAGTCAACTTTATTACTGTTTTTTTTTTAAATCTCGATATTGACTGTTTTGGCTGATTTTTTTTTTTGAATAGTAAATCGATAATTTGATGCTCATAAATGACGAGTATAATTCTTTAAAAATTATTTTTAAACAGACGAGTGGTGGAGGATTTTCAGCTCGACCCACAACTCTCAACGTGCACGAGTCAGCCCATTATCCAAGAAGACGTGTCACTGGGTATCTCGGCCTTTCTCCAAGAGAAACTACAGCTACATGTAACCTAGCTAAAAGAGAAACTTCTAATCGAAGTTGAGAACCTCCGTCTGAGGAATGCCCTTCTGAAGCAACAATTGAAAGACTTCAATAAGAAACACTTATAAAACTTTTTTTTTATTTTCAAACATTAATGTTTATACTGAAAATAAATTATATTCGATAACAGTAAAATAATAAATAAGTGTTGACTCTAGAAATGATTCATTGTAATGTGATTTCTGTATGCTCTACCATCCAGATTGTCGGGGACACAGTTGTTGTCAGCATCATCGTCATCACTGCCCTCATCAGAATCATCGTCACTTTCTCCATCCTCGCAATTTTGCTAAATTATGAAGTACTGCAAGCCCTCTCTGGACACAACCTTATCTCAGAATGTAACACATGAAAATGTCTTTTCCATTGTCCTATGGTTCTCTCAACAATGCGCCTCGTAACCTTGTGTGATCAATGAATGAAAAATAAATAAATTACAGGCACGTAGCATCGTTTTTGAAAGTGGGGGGGGGCAACCTGAGAATTTTTTTTTTTTACTTATCTAAAAAATGTTGACAAGCAAAAAGAAAAAAAAATAAACCTTGAAAATCCTATATATATCTAATGTTTTCCTATATTTCCTTGCTATGAATATACTGTGGGGGGGGGGGGGGGGGGGGCAACCATCTTTTCAATGGACATTTCCTATAGTAAAGGTTATGTTGGGGCCAGGCCCCCCCCCTGTTGCTACGTGCCTGAAATAATTGATTACTGAAAGATGTATCCAATAATTAGGGGAGGGTAGGTTCTAACTTGAAAAAGTATATTATTTCTGGTTGTTGATTTTTTTTATCGAATGGCGATAATGCGGTAACTAACTGTAAATCAACCTGGAAATATGTCGATGCAGAAAATCATGAGAAAAAAGTTCGCAGTATAACATCATTATTAAATAAGACATTTACCCATTGTATCTTCTTTCCTGTTGGGTTGCAGGGTTAAGGAAGGGAGTCAGGATCCAGTTTTTGCACGGATAGCCACTATCACCGAGAAGGTGACATTTAACAGGAATTAGTCCGGGTGTTTGAAATAATTGGCTAATGCCACTTTCTCGCAAAATTCTTGCGTCATGTGTTGACCCTGGCCACTTGGCGACTATGTCCAGTATATGACAATGTGCGTCCACGACAAGTTGCACATTAACACTATGGAAGTTTTTTCTATTAACAAATTCTTCTTCATTAACTGTAGGACGCAATATCCTACATGGGTCCCGTCGATAGCGCCAAGCACTCCCGGAAAATTGGCGATTGCGTGAAAGTCTGTCTGGTGCCTGTGAATTGTCTGAGCGTCGGTAGGCAATTTTATATCTTTGAATGATATGTGGTCGAGTTAAGGCTGTAGAGACCCTTTGAACAATCCTAGACACAGTGGATTGGTGAATTCCCAAGTCATCCCCGTTACATAACTGCATTTTTCCTGTTGCGAAATAGCGAAGAGCTATCATGACTTGTAAATTAGTTGGTATGCTACAATTTCGACTTGTCTGGTGAAACGAAATCGTCAATCAGCGTCCCGATATGTTCAATTCCTTGTCTATCAAAACGGTAGCGTGTGATAAGTCCCACAGCATTGTATTCCGTAAAGGGATCTGAATCGCCGCTTAAAAACACGACGTTGTCTTTGCTGTCTTGCAGCCATTTTGCTGTGGTAAGCAAAATGCTTAAAAACTTTAGACAAGGTGAGGGGTTGTTTAACTTTAAGCATATTCTAAGACATATAAGTAAGAATAAAAAACGTCATGCAATCCACTTACAACGTAAAGTGACGTACTAAGTAAAAAACGTCACTCTGCTTAAGGTAAATCGGCACTTGAGAATATACTTAGCAGAATAAGAATTTTTATGCATATGAACCCTGATTCCATAGTAAAGAGCATATTCTTAACTAATCTTAAATAAATCAATATGCAGACATCTTTACCTGTATACAACCATACAATTCAAATCAATATGCAGATGTCTCTACCTGTATACAATCATACAATTCACATCAATATGCAGATGTCTCTCACCTGCATATAACCATACAATTCACATCAATATGCAGATGTCTATAGTATATACAGTCATACAATTCACATCAATATGCAGATGTCTGTAGTATATACAATCATACAATTCACATCAATATGCAGACGTCTCTATCTGTATACAGTCACACAATTCACATCACATAGTGCTACCATCTTCAAACAACAGCGTGTTTCTTATGTTTTCTCTCTCTTCTTCCTCTTCTATTGACTGCAAGATTTCTCTCAGTTGTTCATCATTCTCTTGTTCCTCCTTGAAACCACTGGCCTTTCCATTCAAAGAAAGTCTACCAAAATAAGAGTTTATCTAAGAAGGCTGCAGCCATTCTTCTGAAGTGAAAAACTTTTCCCCATTGCTATGTCTCAGTGATCTCATTTGCTTGGCGCTTTTCTTCCTGATTTCTCACCTTCTTGGTACACTCGTATTAGAAATTCTTTAACTTTTGCAGAGAAGCGGGCAAATTTTCTTGCTTTTTTTATTGCCCATCCTTGGGGAAGTTTTTTTCTTGATGAATTTGAATCTTCAACTGAGTGAAGATCAGTGCCTATTTGTAAGATCTGCTTGGACATGAACAGATTTGAATGGCATGTCTCCGACCAAAGATGTCGAATTTCATCAAATGTAGAGCTTTTTTCCTGCACATGCCGATCCAACTCTATATGTTCTAGAAGATGCTGATAGGAGGAAAAATGCTGATTACAGCCTAATACGGAACAGTGGAAAATCTGTGGACAGTTTTCTTTTCTCTGAGAGGAGATACTTCCATACTGTGTCTGTGGCTCTTCTTCAAAGTCAGACAGTATGACAAGTCCTGTTTGACTTTGCTCAGTTTTCAAAGCATCCTCTCGATTGATCTTCACACCAATGCCCACATTGAAACTATGCCAGGCAATGATGTCTTCTCCTTCAAAAGAAAGATTGCTGATAGAAGAGACGCCTTTGAAGCAATGACTTGTCATCGTTTGCTTCTTCTTATCAACTTCTACTACTGCACACTGGCATCCTACAACACCACTTCCATCCATGATTGCGTTCTTCAAGTCAAATGGTGTTATCACATTTTTTCCTGATGAAACAAACATCCTTTTGCCTGCTTGGACTTCACTAAAGTCGTATCGTAGTATATTGATACTTATAAAAAGAAAAAAATAGACATCAAAATAAAATATGATTGTTATAGACATACATTCTGTAGCATGCAGTCAATAATAGCATTTAATGTCAGTGAACTTTAACTGTTTATAGGGTTTATAGGGAGAATTTTAAAAAAGGACAGTGTTAAATGTTTACACAACTGTGTCAAAGCAAATTTAAAGCAAGACAAAATTGTTCTCTGATATGACAAAAATAATGAGAAAATAAATAGTTTTTATGTGTGAAAAATTCAGGCAGGCAACTGCATGATTGTCAACTTACCTGTTCTTTCACTAATGCCATGTAAACTTAGCCACAGGCACCCACAGTGGTAGCACCCAGCATTATCACTCCTTAGAAATACTTCTTCTACTTCTGGCATTTGCACCCTTAAAAGTCTGAAGGATATGCTCCAGAGCTGATGCGACAGCAAACCAATCTTGTTTGACTGCGCCAAAAATATGCGTGAATGTCTTGTGCTAAAAAAATAAGATAAAACATTTTAAACAAATTTACTTATTAATATTTGACAATATAAAATTCTTAAAAAAGATTATAGAATGCATCATATAAACTTATCTAAACATATTAGTAAAAATTTTGTCATCAATGTAAATTGCTGAGGAAGAGAGTACTTGATAATATTTTAAAATCTGGCAGATTTTTAGCGTCGCCCGCGTGGCGCTGTGGTTAGAGCGTCTGCTCTAGAGTCGCGAAGTAAGAAGTTGATCCTTACGTTGTGAGTTCGAATCCCACTGTGGGACGTGGAGACTGGTCCTTCGGATGAGACCGTATAAACCGAGGCCCCGTGTCGCAGTAGGTGCTGGCACAAAAAAGATCCCTCACTGCTCAAAGGCCCTGAGTGCCGAGCATAGGACAAAATTTGTAGCCCTCCACCGGCAAGTGGTGGCGTCTCCATATGAGTGAAAAATTCTCGACAGGGACGTTAAACAACATACAATCAATCAATCAATCAGATTTTTAGAAATAATTTCATCAATCGGCAGCCTTATTGTATTCTGCAATCAATAATCCAAAAGATAATTGTGACATAAAATCATGTTGATTCTGAATCTAATTACAGTTCTAAACCATTACCTAGGGCCGCTGCAAAATAAAATTCTGAAGGTACATATATCCCCCCCCCCATGCAAAAAAATGTCCCCTTGTGAGCTGACAATTTACATACACAAACTCAACTGAAGTTTCTTAAATAACAACTACCTATTCAAATTTATCATAAAAATGTGCATATTGTCTAAGTCAAAATGTTCTTGAAATGTTCCAAAACAAATACATTCACAAAATAAAATGTATCAGGCTTATACTAATACCTTCAAAGATCCATCGTCTGCTCTGAAAACAGCAACAGAAATGTGTCAGCTCATGCCTTTTTGACCAAAAGAGTCTGACTGCTTTTCTCTGTACATTGCTGGAAGAAATTTCATAGCCCAGTCCATGATAATGAGTAGTTGATGAGGCTGAAGCTCTTCCAATATCTTGTATCTTCCTTCTTCCTGATTCTGGGTTCCAAGAATGTGAGCTTTCCAATAAGAAATTTTTTCAATTGCCTTCTCCAATCTAACTGATAATTCTTCCACTATTTCTGATGCTGTAATTAAGATATATGAAATTTCAACATTTGATTATCAGACTTATGTTTAACAAAGAGCTAGGTTAACTTTATGCATAAAACGGCCCTGTACTTATATCAATTAATAAACTATCGCCCTTTTTCCCATTTCATATATCAAAATAAAAGAGACACGTGGTGCTTTCATTTCATATAATAAAATTTCTTTTTGAGAATCCAAATATTGGAAAACACGCTTTGAGAAATAGAAATGTTCTCGAAATTTGCAGAAAACATGCGTATTTGACTACTTTTAGCAAAGAATTAAAATATGAGCACAGCCCACGATCCAAAAAATGAAACGTGTTTTTTGAACTTCAGAAACAGATCTTTCATTATGTATTTGCATATTTTGGATCAGAGGTTGTGCTCCATATGAAATATTAAAAAAATACTTCAACTTTAGGCCATTTTCGAAGGAAATTACAGATATGAGGAAAATAACGCATTTTATTACGTCATAATGCATTGGGTAAAGGGAAAATAATGTCATGATTAATGGATACGTGGTCACCAACAGCCCAAGTGATAATTACTGCTTTTGCAGCATAAACAGAGTGGTTTTGATTGTTCAGATATTCTCAGGGCCAAATAAGGTACAAAGTGGCTCTTGCTCTTTAGTGTGGGACTGTCCAGTGGATGCCAATACCACTGTTTTAAGTTTGCTCTTAGTCATCCAACCAATGCAAAAATAGATATGATCCTATTAACAGTTTTTAAAATTTCTTATCAATAAACTTACATCTTAATTTCTGCACTTCCTCGAAAAAGCCACTGCTTATTTCTTCAACTAGATTACATTTTCTACAAAGTTCCTCATGTGCATGATCACATTCTTCCTGGAGCAAGACATTGGTTGGATGACTTAGAGCAAACTTAAAACAGTGATCTTGGCATCCACTCGACAGTCCTACACTGAATTTATATTCTGATTTTAAATACATCTCCAGATTCTTTAAATCATTGGTCAAATTGGTTATGGTGTTTAATCCAGATCTAATTCTCTTAAACGCTCAGACATTTGTATAAGGCCATCTACGGCTGCTGCACCATCAGTGGCAATGTTATCAAGACCACATAAACTTGTTCTTTTACTAGCAGAGCATGTAGACATGATCTTGTACAATGTTGAATCAGATAATGGAATAAAATCCAGGATTCCAAAATAGCGCCGCTCGAGGTAAGACGCGTCGAGTGAGGGAGCGTGGAGCGGCCGAGTTGACAAGTTTTATAGGACTGAAACATGGTCAAATTGTGAATTCAGACTTGCTCAGGGCGGATACATGCAGTGGTTTCCTTATTTGAAATCTAGGAGTGGTATTTTTAAGGAATTAGATCGAAACGATCGTGTAATGAGTAAAATCTATTTATAGCCTGTAGATCTACATGAGTACTATTGACAAATATTTTAAGATGCCTTCTACTGGTGTTACTACTCGTAAAGGTTCTACTCCAGCTACTAGCAATTCTCAAAGACAGTCAAAAGGATAGCCAGAAGGGAATTCTTTCCTCTGAGTCCTCTCCAAAACGTACGCAGGAAAATTCAATGTGTAGAAGTTCGGGCTTTACGGATGGATCGGCCTGGATAGCTCAGTGGTTAGAGCACCTGACTAG